AGCCGAAGCATGTAGGAAAAGCCACGGCAATTGACCACCCGTCCTGGGATAACTCCGGGTCACGACAATTTGTTGGCGTCTGTTGAGACCCAAGCCAAGCCAAGCCAAGAGAAACCACTGTCCTATGGGAGAGGACTTCTCAGAAGTCCCACCCACCCGAAAGGGTTGTGTCAGAATTGCAACCAAAAACTCAGGGATTGCAAAGGAGAAAGCCAGACATTGTAAGTGCAACTCTGGTAGTGAGAGCAAAGCTGTGAGCAGCGAGAATGAAACTAAGGAAACTGATAACAAAAACACATAGAGGCAAACAGAAAAAGGAAACATACTTTGTTACTCATTTTAAGAAGTTGATTCAGATAGTAAGTTTTCTTTTGAAACAATTTTTTTTTCTCAATGTCTTAATATTTGTTTGATCTTCAAAGTGTTTTTCTTGATCCTATTGGCACAAATCTAATCCGATACAAGTATATGTCCAGGACCGGGCCTCATCAGAGGATGAAGCCCAGACCCCTGGAAGAGGGCTTCCCCCACCCCCAGCTATCCCCCCGGTGAGGAGAAGGTTCATCCTCCCCAATAACCTGTACCTCTGCCTGACCTGACCAATTACCACGTAATGGAAATCTCAACAAATACTACAGTAACATGTGTATAGTAAATGGGTTTGAGTGTAGCTGATCATGTAAGTGTGGTGTTTCAAATGTGATACGTTAGGAAATTTACAAAGGTTAATGAGGCAGTTACATGGAGAAAAACACTTCTGGAGCCATTACGTCACTGTTGAGGTCAATAATTGTATTTTGTAAACTGTTATTCTTCTTCCTCTCCCTCTTCTACACACTCTTCCAGCATGTCATGACCCTGGAGACATCATTGTGGCAGGCCATTGACCTGCAGGGTCACCAGGGAACCCAGGGGGTTCCAGTTCCAACTCTCTCTTCATCTGGTGGGATGATGAGGGAGGAACCGGCTCTCCAGGTGCCTACAGTTTGCCCTAACTCCTCTCCAGGGCAGTGGCAGCAGAGGGATGACACGACATGTAAGGTTTTTATGGTTTACACTCACCCAGTCCTCACATGCCAGTTAGAGTATACGAACACACATGATCCACGCATACATACTAATATAAGATGGTTTATAAAGCTAAACACACATACACACAACATGTAAATGCAAAAAAATACTTTTCAGCTCTCCTGCATGAAGTCCTGGTGAAACAGGAAATAATCCTGCAGCGCAGCCTCACCAAAATGGCGCGGGACCTTTTTGTTCCTGTTGCTGCTCTTCAGGGCCTGACCACAGGGGGAAGTGTGGAGACCAGGCACCACGGCATCTTCCCCTTGGCAGATGTTCAGGCCCTGATGGCCCTGGAGAGGGAGCTTGGAATCAGTCCAACATTGGCTCATGAATTGGTGAGCTGTTTTCTGTTCTTTACAACAAAGTTTTAGACAATGCATTTTGGCATGCACATCCAATTTGTGTGTTGTTCAATATCTTAAAGTGGTAGATATGCCAAAGGAGTTAAAGGACTGCTTGTGCAGCCAACGAGCTCCACCCAATTATTTGCGCCCCCCCACGTTTCAGGTCTCTGCCCTTCATCAGGCAACCACAAAACGCCAAATAAATAAATAGTGGAGCACAATGGCTATCCAGGCTTTTCTCTAAGTTTGTATAATATTTGTTTGAAAATTCAATGAAAATCAATCTTTGTTTGAAAAATTAATGAAGATCAATTTTTCTAATTTTAGGGTTCAACACTGGACCTTGCGGGGGGATCCACAGTAAAGGACACTGTGCGGTGGGTCCTCAAAGGAGCCATGACTAATGCCCTCACCAAGGGAATTACTTGGCGAGGGCAAAATGGGAAGGTGGCCTTTGAGAGGCTCCACCTAAAAGGCATTGTAATTGGTAAGTTTAATCACAACAGTAACACGACTGTTCTATCACACAGCTGATAAAATCATAGTTTAGGATAAAATTATTAGCCACCCATGACAATCACATTTCTTTTCTAAGTCAAAATACTTATAGTCTTAACAACTTGTTTGCGAAATGGCACGCAGTGCGCCTGTGAATGTCACAAGCCTCGTAATTATAACACCACGCTATCGCTGGCTTCAAGACAGCTATTGCCACTTTGCCCGCAATGTGACGCGTTCTTCAGGGTCAACTCTCGCTCGTAAAATTCTTGTTTGGCTTTAGTGTCAGGAAAGAACCGCTGGTTTGTGTTTGGTAAAGTAAACTGTGGCAGTGTAAGTACTAAGTGACTATGATGATTTAATGTTGGAACTTTGGCTGTCACTTTCAACCTCAGATGATGAGATGCATCCATTAACTAATGCAAAACTGACTTTTTAACTAGCCAGTTACTTAGCCCACCACAGGTCTCTTTTGCATGGACTGTTGCGTCATCCTTTTTTAAGTCTTTCTCCATGTGTATGCCTTTATTGTCAACTGCAGTGAGAAGGAATCCGGTCTGTGTGGCATCTACGGAGGCAGAAATTATAAATACAATTAAAAATCGGTTCTACTGGGCTGGGGATAGGGACGGAAGGCGCAAAAAGAGAATGCCCACCCAACCAACCCCTCAACCAGCCCAGGACTCAGTCCAGGACTGACTTAAAAAAATAAATTAATTAAATATTCAAATTTTACTCTTGTTTGGTTTTATGTTAATGCACCACGTACACACAGTAACCTAGGCTATTTCACAAGGCTATTTAACTGAGGCAAAAAATCTGAATCTTCTGTACAAGGACATTTTATAGTCTATTAAAATGTTAAATAAAATTTAGCATAAGGTTCAGAATAAAATGCAATCTTTTGGTAAACGTATGGCTAATTATGGATATGTTATGGTTCATATTTGGCTTTATTATGGGGTTTTGGGATGGTTATGGCTATGCTTTGGAAAGCCACATTTTATTTTGGGTGATCTTTTTGCAAACTTATGGTTACACTTTGATATCCTTTGGCCATTTTGTGGTGTTTTGGGGTTCTTTTGGTATAGTTATGGTTGTGCTTTGGAATTCCACAATTTATTTTGGAAGAATTCTGGCCTTGCCTTATTTGGGCCATGTCTGGCCCATCATTCCACCCAAAAGAGTACCAAACTGGCATGCCAAACTAGTGCCAAAAACTATTCTGGCAACCTTTTGACAAACCATAATTCTATTTTGGCGTGCCTAATTTGGGCCATATTTGGCCCATCATTCCATCCAAAGAGTACCAAGACTGGCTTGCCAAACTAGGGCCAAAAAGAATTTGCTATCTGGGGACGAGTTAAAATGTCTGCTAGTTAGTTACACAAGGATCATTCCTAATGTGCAGTTACTACTACTTAAAAGAAGGGAGATGTAAAAGCCTGGCCATTCCGGCCACCGTAGTGTGAGAAGACAACCTCACGCGAGATTGGTATGTGGAGGGAGAATAAAGATGGCTGAATAAAGCACAGACTAAGACCGGGCTCCGTCATGATCAATGATCATTCTTATTCATCTATATGAAAAAACACAACAGTGGTATTGTTTTATTTGCCTTCGAAATACAAGTTTGTCTTTTCTAGCTGTCATTTTTACTCTAACCGGAAAGGAGACAGTCGCACTCCGCTTTCGCGGATGTGACGTAGCGCCGTACGTGCAGCCCTTTGAACACAGATATGCAAATGGCAGCTCCGGTGTTACAGCAAAATCTCCACCGGTCTTAAAGGGTTATCTTTTTTCTCAGTTTTGTTAATGTATGAATCAAAGTGGGCTTTTTTATTATTTTTTTTTAATATTAAGCATTTCACATATTTCTAAACAATGCAGTAAGTTAGTGAGTCCGTATGTAACTCACAACCTACAGAACCTCATATAAATATATATTTTCATCAGGTTCCTGATACTGTTTTGGGTTCTTAAAGTGTGACCGTTTTTTAAGAAAATGTAGGCCGTACCATCGACATGGGCCGTAGATGGTCTCTGCGCGGTTCACATAAAACTACAATACCCATAGCAGCACGCGCCCTTCTCCATCGCACATGCGCAGTTGCTTGTTCTACTCTAGACAGCTGTAGGAGAAAATGGCAGCGTTCATGCTAGGACAGCAGGTAAGACATTCAAATGCTTTTCATAAATCGAATTATTTCAGTTGACTTCTAAGTGATAACGTGGAAGCTTAAAACCACGTGCAAGCGATTCGTTATTTCATAAACCAAATGACAACAGCAAATGTTCACAAAACGCACACGAGGTTTTGCACTTGAATGACTGCTAACGTCTTAGCTTTTGAGCTAACTGACTTTACCGTAAGACGGATCAAATCGGCTAAAGTTGGCCTGTCTTTTTGTGTCGAAATAGCTTTTAAACATAACTATGTTTCTTTTTTTAGGCCCGCCAGTTGAGCACGTCTGTGATCAGACCTGCAGCGAAACTGGTTAAGGTAAAAAAAAAAACGCTCATCGTGGTCATGCTACAGAAATAAAGTGTTTACCTTAATGTATGGGTTCTTTCTAGCCTCCCATCCAGGTGTATGGAGTGGAGGGCCGTTATGCCACTGCTCTGTTCTCAGCTGCCAGTAAGCAGAGCAAACTGGACCAAGTGGAGCAAGAGTTGGGAAAAGTTTCTGTGAGTTTTGGAAACGGAAATGTGCTATTTAGATTAGTGGATAAAATGCTTAAAAGGATCAAAAATAGTCTGTTTGTTCTCAGTTAATTCCAAGATGACAAGTTTGTACAACTTTTAAAGGTTATCTATTGAAACATAGGATGTAATCTAACTTTTAATTTGCGTAGCTCCAGTCTTATCAGGCATCTTAATCAGACTTATTCATACAGACGAGTATAAATTAATTTTTTGTGTCATCTTTCTTTTTCTGTAGACCATGATCAAGGACCCCAAGATGTCCAGCATTTTAATGAATCCTCATGTGAAGCGCAGCATCAAGCAGAAGGCTTTCAGCGATGCTCTTACAAAGGCTAAAGTTTCACCAATCACTGTCAACCTGATCAGTGAGTGGTCCTAGATAAAGGCTCTAGAGTATGGGTGTGCAGTCCTGGTCCTAGAGCTCTACTGTCCAGCATGTTTTAGTTGTTTCTTTGCTCCAGCACACCTGATTTTAATCAGCTGGTGATTAACAGGCTTCTGTAGAGCTTGATGAGCTGGTGATTTAACCATTGAATCAGGTACGTTGGAGCAGAGAAACAACTAAAATACACTGCCCCACCAAAGGTCACTCACTCTAATATTTTATTGGACCCCCTATAGCTTGGATTGTGGCATGCATTCGCCGTGGCGTTTCGGTAAACTTCTGCAATGTCACAAGATTTATTTCCATTTTTCACCAAGATCTTGCATTGATTATGGTAGTCTGACTGCTGCACAAAGGCTTCTCCAGCACATCCCAGTGATTCTCAGGGTTAAGGTCTGGACTCTGTGGTGGTCAATCCATGTCTGAAAATTATGCCTCACTATTTCACAGTTGGAGCCGGATGAATTCTGGCATTGTCATCTATGCCCGTGCCGTCAGAGAAGAAAAAAATCCTTTTGCTTGTTAAATTCAGGTGGTGGCATTTTGTGGCCAGGCAGTGTATGTTGAATAGAGAACCCCCAGGACCAGGATTGGGTACACCTACTTATAGTCTAGACCGCAGTATGTTGTGTTATCAAATGGATCCGCCATGGTTGGATGCCAACGGTGATTTACGAGGGTATTGAATGGACCTCAAAAGTGGCGACTGAATTATTTTTCTGCCGGTTTAACCTGGCATCTGCCAGTCCAAGCCCAGCACACACCCAGGTGGGCCTCATAGGAAGCAGTTTTTACAATGTTTAGCGTTGGCTGTCTTACGGATCGATTCTGCTGCTGTTCATTGATTTAAACAAGTTTCCGACTTGGCCATAATTCACCCTGCTGGATTTATTCCATTATCTGATGAACAATGTTTCACTTTACACTGGAGCTTGCTGCTGATTTTAAACAAAACTATAAACGTTTGAATCTCTACCAGTTTGTTGTTGCCGGCTGGGTCACTGGGCTCAGCTGATACTCACACCAATAAGATGTCTCGTAACATTTTTAAAGGCTGCTGGTCCATTTGACTGCTGCTGTCCAGCGCCGTCTGTCTCCCATCAGTTATTCAATATGACAAGTTGGGTTTATATCCTTGTCTGTTCGTGCAGCAAACTGTTTTTACTGCGAAACTCCCAAAAATAAAAGCAATAAAATGCTACAAACTAGCTTGTTTTAGACTAGCCTAACGAAGTTTTAATGGATGTAAACAGGTCCTTCAACGTCCATCATGGAGAAACGGGCACTCCCATGAGTATTGAGCAAAGAGTCAACATTGAAAAATAACTACTATGGTTTCTGTCTCCTCAAATTGAGATGAATTAAAACTTAGTGGCAGCTAATTTGAACAAGTAGATTTGGTGAAAGACTTTCTGCAGACTAGTTTTGTATGAAGACTAGGTTAAACCATAGCATCCATTGATGTAACACAGTTCAGTATCAGGTAGTGAGGGTGAGATGAAGCCTCATGATGAGCTGAAGCTTTCCACCCAACTGGTCGACTCTTGATTCAAGGCACCGTGATGATTCAATCGCTCTATTGTGCCATCAAGAGGACGATTCGGGTAAAACTGTAAACCTTTAAACTGAAAAAATAAAGCTTATGATGGCAATCTATTCTTAATATTGTCTTGAACTGGCATTTGAATATACTGTCTGGTCCAAAAGAGGGAGGGAACTAACAGGACATAGGGTTTCAACAGCACAATGTGACAGGGGGAGTCGGCAGTGTTTAGCTGCCCCTTTTATTTCAAATCCAGCGCAAGCCAGTTCCTGAATCGGTCACATGGTACGGACTGCCAACGAGGCCTCAAACATCACTGCTTACGTAATCAACACAAGCCTCGATATGCGCTTCACAAAAAATCTTCCTGGACACTCGCTTCGAAGCATCGACACATCACTAGTGTCAGGAGGTAGCTCTGGTTCAGTCAAATATGCTTTACTCTTCCCCAACAGGATATTCTTCTGAGACTAAAGTGTTAGTTTCGTGCAAATAGTCGCTGGAATGTCAACAATATAGGAGACTCAAGTTAAAGGGGATATTCCATCTAAAATAGAAATTTTGTGTCTTGACATATTTTCCAGTGTTGGCTAAGTGGAGAAAAAAACAAGTTTGAACCAGTCCAGTCACTCTCCTGACCTGACTACTCGTTTAGCTTTAGCTTAGCATAAAACACAGCAAGCCCTCCACTCAACGGTCGAGTCTGTCCTGCATGCTTTTGTTTTATCACGGCTCGATTACTGTAATGCACTCTGTTTTGGGCTGAGTCAGGCAGCAATTAAATGATTGCAGTTAGTGCAGAACTCTGCAGCTAGATTCCTGACAGGCTCGAAAAAGACAACACGTTACTCCTGTCCTGGATTCCCTACACTGGCTTCCTGTGGCTTACCGGGGGAAGTTTAAAGTTAGGTTTGTCTTACGGGCCCTTCACGGTGGTGCCTCACCATATCTGGCTGGGTTGCTACAGATGCATGCCCCTACACACTCCCTTTGCTCGGCTGATCAGGATTTGCTCCTCGTCCCACAAACAAGGTTCAAAACAAGAGGTGATGGGGCCTTTTCGGTCCTTGCTCCAACACTGATAGCAAGTGGGAGCTCTTTCCACAAACGGTCCCCATCACTGCAGGTCTTCAAGAGTTGATTGAAGACTCATTTTTATCGTTTAACTTATATATAATGTGGACTTTTAGATTTTTATCATATCTTTTATTACATCTGTCTTATCATTGTAGTCATTTTTAATGCAGTTTTTCATCTGTCTTTTTGCTCTTTTACTGTTTTTTTATGTCACGTTTAGCGCCTTGTGTTCCTGTAAAGGCAGTGGAAGGCGCTATACGAATAAAATTTCATTGTGTGGATCCGACTAGCATTGGGAGTAAAGCAATTCTCTCACATGCACATGCAAGCTACAATCTCTCCTTTGCAAATGTGATGTGCTTATTTTTTTCCATCACTGTCATGTGTGTATGTGCGTGTGTGTGTTTTATGCCAGTTCCCTAACGTGTGCTCTGTGTTTACAGAAGCAGGTCTCTTTGGGGCTGCCAGCGGAGGCTTACAGCTGTGCTTTGCCATAAAGTAGTCCCATGTCCTAAATGGCGCCTGTGATTCCTTTATGTTACTAATGATTTCCACTTGCAGTCACTATGATTATTTAGGTCACCAAGCAGAATTGGGATCACTTCTGAGTGATTTTAAGGACTTTTTTTTTTTACTCACAATGCTAGTTGGGTCCATTCACTCACTGTGTTTTATGCTAAGCTAAAGCTAAAAGTAGAGCCAGGTCAGGGGAATAACTGGGCTGGTTACAAATAGTTTTTTCCCCACTTATCTAACTCTGGGAAATATGTCAAGACATAAATTTTCAATTTTGGGTAGAATGCCCCTTTAATGCAGAATACAAAATTAAAGTGAATATTGTAGTAAACCTAAAAGCAATACGTAGAATTGAATATGGTCTGTAAAATGTAAAAAACTAAGTCTAGTGTGCTTAAAATAAGCATTTTTGTTGGAAAATTAACCAAACTAGGTCACAACCCAAAAAAAAAAAAGCTTGAGACAGTTTAGACAGTTACATATTTTGCAAGAAATGTTTTTTGTTGACTAGAACAAAGTGTATGGCCAGGACATTTCATACTTCATGAACAACTAAATGTACTGAACTGAAGTCCTGATATCACACAATAGTTGTTGGACACCACATGAGACAAAGGTCCTGCTCAGTTTTGAGTAGTTAATATTTTTGCACATGACCTTGATCTTTTGTTTAGCAGGTTTTTCCTTCAGCATACCCAAAGGTGAATGGATATAGCTAAACACATGTCAATCACTGCATTTAACTCTCTTCTGCAGATGTTTTGGCTGATAACGGTCGTCTTACTCTAACTAGTGATGTCATCAACGCTTTTGGCAGGATGATGAGTGCACATCGTGGAGAGGTCATCTGCTCTGTCACTACTGCTAAGGTAAAACATTCCTCAGAATGTGTGATCTACGTCACTTTTACGTTTTTACAGTAGGTGGCTCATGTGCTTTTGTTTTTTCACAGACTTTGGATGAAGCTAATCTCACTGAACTGAAATTGGCTCTAAAGGACTTTCTGCAAAAGGGTGAGACCATCAAGCTGGAAACAAAGGTACAGTTTATCTCAGTCCCATGGATTCAATTTAGTTACCCAAAACCAGGTTGTTTCTACTCATCTGTAATTGACTCTTTTCCCTTTAACAGACAGATCCTTCAATCCTGGGAGGCATGATTGTCAGCATTGGTGACAAATATGTGGACATGTCCACAAAAACAAAGATCCAGAAGCTGACCAAAGTCATCAGGGACACATAAGTCCAGTGGACTTAATTTTGAAAACCTCACCATCAGGGGAAATGTTGATAAAATGATATTCCTACCTGTCCTGGCACTGCCGTTGCTCCATAAGTCCAGTGCCTGTGCTGAAGTTCATATAGATGTTAATAAAACAACAAAAACTAAGAGTAATCTGTTTTTTGTGTTTATTTTCATTCACACGTTTAATTGTAGACTGTGATTATAATGCATACATAATGGCGTCATTGGTAAGACGTTAGTTATTAGTAACATCAGTAATGGCAAATTTTGTCGTGTTTACGTCACTTTCATCTGCCGCTACGTTTCCTGGAAGTGCAGTTGCGCATGCGTGGTTTGTTTATACCGTTACATTTTTTTTCTCGATGAAAAAATGGCTTCCGCTCACATCTAAACCTTTTCGTAAAGGATTATCTGGATCTGGAATAAACTGCAGAAATCGCTTTTCCAAATAAAACGAAGAGAAACCTCTCGAAGTCGCAGCGGTGTTACGAAGATGTTTTCAGCAGAGAGGAGAAAGGCGACTAAATTCACCATTCCCTGTACTGCAACACCCAACAACAAATGAGGTACGAACGGGTGGTTTACGTTCTGGAAATAGTTGAGCGTGTTCGCTAGCTATTGTTTTTAAAGGGAAAATGCGCCTAAACGCGCTCATTCTCCACAGGGTTGAACAGTTTCTGCGGCCCATGGCAGCTTGGTGCTTCAAAAGCTCGTTTATACTTCTTGGTGCTGCTTCTCCCTCTAATCTAGACATTTCTCCTCCCTTCAACAACAGATCATGATGCATCGCGTGAGCAGCAGCAGCAGTGACTACTGTGTGACTGAGCTGTCAGAGGACTGCCATCCAGCCAGCCACTTTGATTTGTGCAGCACACAGTCTGATAAATTCTACACCTCTCCCACAACCCCTGGTTTGCAGCTGTCCCTGGCCAGCCTCGCCCCCTTGCCACAGGGAATCCACAAAGCCATGGCATGTCAACTGCAAAACTCTCAGATCGACTTCCAGGCTCAGGCAATGAGAATCAGGGCCTCTGAGGGGGATGGCTCCAAGAAAAAGAAGGGTGAATCAAAGTCAGGACGCAGAGGAAGACCATCAGGCACCACCAAGTTGGCAGGATACCGCACAAGTACTGGACGCCCACCTGGGACAACCAGAGCAGCTGGGTTCAAAACCAGCCCTGGACGGCCCCTTGGGACCACCAGGGCAGCGGGGTACAGAGTCAGTCCTGGGAGGCCCCCAGGTAGCATCAAGAGTCTCGAACGTCTCAAGAAGCTGGAGTTTGGGTGTGAAGACGCCAGAAAACTTGACTTGAGTAACTGCAATGTTCCCAACAGACTGGACTTCACCAGCTGTGAGGTTCCTGCTTTTGCGTACACCATGATGGAGACCAGAGACCTCTGTGAGCCTAGCAGCAAAGCAGATGAAACCAGCGAGTAGTTCAGCAGCCATCTGCAACATCTGTACGCATGAGCGTGAGGATGCCTCGAAAAACATTCATAAATGCAGAACATTGTTTTTAACATGTCTGTCTGGTTTCCTTACCCCCCCCCCCCCCCCCTTCCTTCAGAAGAGTTAACTAAAGGTTTGCTGCCCCAGACTGGTACCGTGCATGCTTATAAATGTAGGGTAAAAATGTAATTCAAATGTTACAGCTATCTGCTCTTCCAAAACTTTTACTTTTTACATGTTTTCTCATATTGTTTTCCTTTTAAAAAAATTGAGAAGTAGCAAGTAAATCTGACTTCTTTTACTGGGGTAAAACAATATAACTAGCCTATTACTGTATTTTGTGTGATGTCCACTGTGTGCTTTACTTCACAATATAATCTTGCACCAAAGCTAAAATTGGTAACATTTGTAAACTTATCTAGATCACAGTATTTGGAAATTCATTCAGTACTTTGTAAATATAGTTTAGATCATTTATTCCTGAATACGCTGTTTTCACCTGATAGCCACTTCCATATTTGTGTTACTAATCATCATATATATGAAAACAATAACTTTACAAGCTATAAGCACTGTAGAAGGTATGTGTTGTATGTGAAACAACAATAAAGTCTTTTCCACTACTTCCTGCCAAGGTGAAAGTAATTCTCCGTGCAAACACAAGAGGGCGCATGACTGTAGACAATGGTATCTGGAGTACTCAGGTGCTTATTTGATTAACTTAGTAAAAAAATATATTTAGAGTGAATCGACTGGAGATGTTTTAAGTTAAAAGATTTTATTAGTCTAATTGTAAAGGAATTGTCAGTGAAAATGCTAAAAAAAATCTCACTAAAGTTTTCAGATAGTATTTTTGATTGGGTATTTGTGTTTTGGTTGTAAACGAAGAACTGCGCGGCAGCGGCGACCCTTCTGTATCATTTTCACTCACATTTCCGCATTTATATTAACGTTCAGTTCCAGTTTGAGACACGTGAACATAAAAAGACCCGTTTGTGAACTCGTATTTGTAGGGGGAAGCCTGAGTTTTAGTCTCCAGTGGGTCTTTTGTCTTCCCCCGAACGCCTAGCGGCCTGTTTCCTCTTGTCTCTAGAAGACAACATGGCGCTCGGAGTTGTTGGGTCTGACCGGAGAGGCCTGTGTGCTGGCTGAGGAGCGACTTCCTTCCACTCTAGTGCCTTCACTCGGTGACATCTGAGTGAGTCTTCACAAACACTCGTCAGAACAGACACCGCTACGCTACTGTTATTACTAATACACGTTAATTATTGTCTGTAACTTCACCTGGATTTCCATTCGTGCACGTATGTTTGCTTTCGCTTGTGTGTGTGTGTGAGCGCGTGCAGGGTGAGCGAGTGTCACGGCCCTCTGCTGCAGACGGGGGGTTGGGTAGCGGTGCCGATTGGTTGCTGCTGCTCACTCACCAACACAGTCAGTCAGTCTGGGCTTGTTTTATCATAATCGGGGGCACTTCGACAGCACGCAAAATCACCACCAAAACCATGTAGTAAATAAGCCGGGACCGGTGAGAGATGTGGGGATTTCCTTGTTGTTTTGTGCCGTAAAGCTGACAGAGAGAGAGGGCCGCCGCTGATCAGGCGATGAAGTGCCGAGAATGAGAGCTGTGCCTTGGCCTACTACCGCCACAGGAGCTGCTGCAGCTGGGATTGTTGTGCAGAGCCGCTTCCACAAACCCAGAAAAGCTCTCGTTTTGTGGCTCGTTGAAGGTCAGCGGTGGGTTTCTCGGTGACCGACTTCCAAATGGTGAGTTTTTTCGCCTTTTCCCCCCACGTGTTGACAATGAGGTGAACTTAGAGCCGATCTGACCATTTTTGTGCGCTTCCTGCGGCTGTAGCTTGTTTGTGAGATGGCTCAGTGTGTGTGTCACCACCTCCTGAAACAGATTCAGCGATCGCCATGACCCACAGCGATCAGACAAAGACCAGATATTCTGCTTAAAACTTGTGTGTGAAACGTGAGAATATAATGTTTTTGTCTTGTTCTGTTGGGCTGGCCTTTAGAAAGGAGGCCATGCTATCTCCATTTAATGTGTGTGTGTGTGCGTGTGCGTGTGCGTGTGTGTGTGTGTGTGTGTCTTTCATGTGAGTTTCTTTCGATTGCAGCTCTATTTGTGAAACATATCCACTCTTATCACATGTTGCGTTTTATCAGACTCAGACATTTGTCATGTGCTGATGAGCTGAAAAGTCTTTTATTTTTTGTCTGACAGGATAGAGACAGGAGAACATGAACCAGTCCTACAGACCGGGCCTTGGGGTAGGCTCAGTGTTTGGCTCAGGCCAACCTGAGCTGAGGCCCTACAGTGGCCCTATGAGCTCTTCCTTTGGAAGCCAGTGTGGCATTGTGAAGCGGGTATCGGGCCAGCCTTCAGCCATGCAGGTGTCGCCCGCCAGCCACAAACAGCCTGCTTTCCTGGGCTACAGTCAGCCTGAGCAACTCCGCTGCTACAGTCCACAAAGGAGACCACAACACCAGAACCCGGTGCTCTACAGAACTGACCTAGATCGAGGGCTCCACGCTCGGAACACCTTTCGCTGTGCGAGTCCCATCTCCGATGACGATGATGAGTTTGAAGCGCCGTCGGTCCAGCTGCCTCCATCTCCGGGCGATGTGGAGCCTTTCCAGGGTCTACGTCCCGGGAGTCAAAACGGCTTCTCCCCCTCTCACAGCCCTGACAGCTTTGAGCGCTGCTCCCCCATCCCCAACGGTTACCTGCATTTTGAGTCCACCCTGTTTGATAGCAGTGACATTAAGGAGGAGGAGGAAGAGCATGATAGCAGTGAAGACTTTGAGCCTTTTCACCTCCCAAACTCAAGTCAGGGTCCGGACCAAACTGTTTCTGAATGTAGGACCACCAGCAACTCGGGGGCGGAGAGAAAAACCTACAAACCTACGGTCTTTAACTTAATGTCCAAAACTATTTCTGAACTGAACCCTATGCTAAGCCCCAGTGCACTGCCAGAGATCACTATGAGAGATGGCTGGAATTTGGACGAGGAGTCCGACAGTGATGCTGAACTCACCTCTGCTGTTGATCCTGGACTTACCTCACCTGCTCTTACCAACTCTAATGTGAGTCCCAAGATCAAGGGATGCTTAGTTTTCAACTTCTGTACATGTTTGTCTTTTTATGTACTACAGTGCAGAAATCAAATGCATTACATGATGTATTTGTTGAAACTGAAGTACTAAATTACGGTTTTAACACCATTTAAACATGGATTGGTTTAAAAGTAGCTTATTCAGATATTTTCTTTAGTTTAGAAATGACATGAATGTTGATCTAAAATTAGCTTTCGGTGTCAGTACTATCAGCACAGGGTGTATTATTTCTTCTTCGTTAGATATTAAGTTGTTTTCATTGTGCTGATTAGTCCAACAGCCCAAAGAAAAAGCTTCCTCCTGCGGTGAAATTCATGGATGGGGATTTTGTATGGGCAAAATTCAACAGAAGACCGTGGTGGCCCTGCCGAATCACTTGTGACCCAGACCAGGGCGTTCATACTAAAATGAAAGGTAATGTTTCATGTAAATTTGACATAATTTTACATTTGTGTCATAGGAAAAAGTCGATCAAAGAAAATTTTTTTTTTTTTTTTTACCAAAGGTGCAAGTTAAAGGTGCATTATGTAGAAATGAAGTAAAAATTACATCCTGTAGTAAAATTTGGTTACTGCAACCACTCTAAACAACTCTGGAGCTTTTTGCCGTCTGTCGTGAAGTTAGAATTGCCGGCGCTGCGGTATTAGCTTGCAGGAGGCACGGTACGCCCACACTCACTGATGGTAAACAGTTACGTTCCTCCTTCCGTTGCTTTGAAAGGAGAAAAACTGACAACTCCCACAGTCAGCTTGATATGAAATATGTTTCATTATAAATGACTGAAACGTTAGACTCCTGATAAATTTTTACTATTTTCTTACATACTGCACCTTTAAAACAAGCCAGAAAATATTAAATCAGTTATATTGCACTGAGTTATTGCACATGGGCTTGCCAGGGAATAAGTGTCATACCTTGGAAATTCTATTAATTTTCCACTTAGCATTGCTTTGTTCCATATTTACTTTATCAAATTGTTCCTTAGTTGATTTGTATATCCCGTCCAACTATAGGGAGCCTAAGTCTCCTCCCTTTCCGGTCGGCTCATGGGTCCCCGGAGGAACGAAAAAATGAATGCAAGTCAACGAGGCTAAAAGCTATTTTCTAATTCACTTAGCCTTAGACCCTGGATATGTTGCATTGCAATTTAAATGGAAAGTAATGAGGGGTGTTTCGGCCACGCCAGTTACGTACTTTGAGATTCATCAGCTTGTAAAAGTTCGTAATTAGCATGACTACACACCAGAAATTCGGCACGTCGCACACCACATAATCTCCTCCCCCCTAACGTAGCTGCTACTTACCAGATGACCAGATTTATGGTGGTTCTTTCCTTCTGTGGGAAGTTTGCTGAACTTACAGCCCTTTTCCCTCAGTTTTCTCCGTATCTGGTTCGATGACGTCACTTTCGTGGAGCGCATTTGTAGTCCTGGACTTATTTTCTCACAAAACCTAAAATAGCTTTTCCCCCCTCTTGGTATCAAAACGTATCTTTAAAATTCACGGACATCATACGTGAAATCCATGGAACAAAACAAGTGGAATTAGAAAACGGTCTGTGGTTTTTCTTTGAGTTTGGCCAGATTCTGAATGTTTTTTAAGATGTTTTTATTTCTCACCAGTTCCAAGCTCCCGTCCTTGTCGAATGTACTTCCTGGAGACAATGGGGGAAGTTGCAGAATTCTGCTGGGTCTCGGGAAGTGTCATCCTTTCGTTTGAAGGAGGCCATCAGTTTGATGAGCTCCCTGTCCTCAGACGGAGAGGGAAACAGAAAGAGAAGAACTACAAGTACACGGTAAATTTAGCTAAATGGCTTAAAAATCTTTTCTTGACATGCTTTCAGAACTGTCACGTGTATGTGTTCTGGTTTCGGCAGATTCCCAAAAGTTTGATGACTGCATGGAAAGTGAGCGTGGCCAAAGCAGAGTATCTCCTCTCTGGTCAACAGAAGAGTAAAAGTGAAAGTTCAGTTTGTGTAAGTGGAGAGGAGCGTTTACGGAGTCCTGCCCCGGCTGAAAAGCCTGCGGAGATTCCATCAGTCTCTGTTAAACCTGCTCGACCCCCCTCACCTGGTCCGGCCCCCAGCAGAAATGGTCACCACTTCCTCAAAAACTCTAAAGTTCAAGTCAACAAGAGCAAAGCTGTCAAGAAGAGAAAGAAATGTTTGTCAGATATATTTGCTCACATAGTTGGCGGATCAAAAGACTCCTCTGTTGGTTCGAACGCGGCAGGTCCGTTTCACACAACATGCACAGTGAAAGAAGAGCCAAAGGACTCTCCTTATGCTGATCTGGATTCAGTTCCAATGCTGAATCGTCCCAAACGCACAGCAGTTTCTCCGGTACACGAAATTAGCAGAGTGGACAGAGACGATTCTGGTTCAGTAAAAGATAAAAAGCCCAATAAAAAACAGAGCCTGACAGAGTCACCTAGTGTTTTTACAAATGAATTAGCTTCTAAAGACTTGATCTCTGATCACAGTCTGGGCAGCTGTGTTGAATCATCTTATAGTTCAGGTGAAAAACACTCAGAGGTTCTTCCTGCCAGCAGCCGCCTGATGACAAAGGCCCTGGGAGCGGTGGAAGAGCCCGATCTCGACGATGCACTGGCTACAGGCCGAAGCTCAACACGAGCTCCTGATGATGGTTGTTTTGGTCAAACGCCCAGTAATGCTACCGTCAAAACCAACAGGTCACCAGCTTGGGAATCCCCCAGCAGAGCTGTGGCCTTCGTGAACCACAGCTCTCCAAAACGACGCCCGAGAAAGCTGAACAGGAAACGAACTCCTAACGGCTCCTTGGTCAAGTCGAGCCTCGAGGAGCCAGTTCTACAACCCGTTCAGGTCAAAACAGAAAACAGTTTCTCAGACTTATCAACTACCTCCTCATCTTTGTCTCCCATGGAAACCTTTCAGGATGGTAAGGAGCTGAAGTTTAAATCTCTGGTGGTGAACGAGGACAGCACAGACTCGGAGCTGACCGCCATTCGAACCAATTCAAATTATAAATTCAGTACTTTCCTCATGCTCTTGAAAGACATGCACGATACCAGGGAGAAAGATGGCAAACCGCTGGTGCTTCCACCGTCAGCCACCTTAATCAAGGAGGAGCCTCTGGTGATCCCCACTTCAGCAGAAAGTGATCTGCTGAAAGGTTCATGTGACAGTTTGGAGAACAAGTTAAAGACTGAACCATCAGGGGAAACTACAGTAGCCCAAAGCACGCCGGTGAAAACCAAGGTTTGGACCAAAGCTGCTGTGACGGCTGACACCAACCACTGTGAGGACTTTCCTCACCACTTAGAGTGCTCGGACAAGCAGCGGAGAAAACAGAGACTCCCATCCAAACTGAAACTCAGTATCCCCGGCATGTCTTCAGACCTGGCCGACATGGCTTACGGCAGTGGCCAGGCTGACCTGGGCCTTGAACCTGGCTCTAATTGTCAGGTCGCCTCAGATCCTTCTGGCAGCTACCTCAATAAAACATTTGAAACACCGGTGGCTCCAAAGAAGCGCTGGCAGCAGGTTGAGGAAGCTGCTGAGATTAAGGAGGAAGTTGTGAGTGATGTTTCTGCTGAGATGAAGGAGGCTTACGCCATGAGAGCATCTCCAGATCCTCTTGATCTGGGAGCTGAGAAACACTCCGAGAATGACTCACAGTTCTCAGACGCGAGCAGCGCTGCTGGTAAGACTCGATCCGACCTGCTTTTAGGCTCAATTAAGAGGGTACCTAAAAATCAAATGAAAACAGGCTGCTTTTCCACACAGGACAATCCGAGAACAAGCGCCTCCGCAAACCAACTAAGAGGCTCTTGGAGTCGACGGAGGAGTATGAACAAATATTTTCCATCAAAAAGAAGTCAAAGAAACAGCCCTCTCATTCTCCCAAAGTGGTGAGGAGTTTTATTTTCTGATGTAAAAGAACAAAAAACAAATGAATCAATAATGGGCTAGTTCAGTTCTGTCGGTGTTAGAATTGTGAAAGGCTTTATGTTTGACATTTTTACATCAGCACAACTTAATTATTGTTGATACTAACTCTGTTTTTCCTTTGAAAACGTCACTAGTTCAACATACAAGGAACTCTTTATATTTGTGTAAGTTTTATGTTTCCCTGCACAATAATAAAAGGTTCATGTTCTCCCTGAGCCATCAGGGTAGGGCTGCACAATACACCGCAAAAGGAATCATCGAGATATTGGCGTACACAATACGCATATCACACAGAACAGAAAACACAATGAATGGTTAGCTCAAATGTTCGCTACTCATAACGCGTTTTTGACAAATCAAATAGAGCCCTTCTTGCATTTGGCCGATCGGGTGGGTTCTTATAGGTTAGATGCCCGCCTCCTAGGTGGACGGCACTTAATTTGGACTGTTGGCAAACACCGGAATTAGCTTCGCTCTGCTCTTTCTGCCAATTCAGCTTTTCCCTGGATCCACTGATTGCTTTTTCTTTGTTTTCTTTTTCCCTTTTCTCACATTTTTGATGACAATTTAGCTTTTCCCATTTTTTATTATATCTTGTCAATTTTAATTGTTTTTGATTTATTTATTTATTTTTTGTGCTTGAGTTAAGTATTTACTCATTGCAAGTCACTTTGTCGTTGCAGGATTACAGTGGGGCAAAAAAGTATTTAGTCAGCCACCGATTATGCAAGTTCTCCCACTTAAAATGATGACAGAGGTCAGTAATTTTCATCATAGGTACACTTCAACTGTGAGAGACAGAATGTGAAAAAAATTCATGAATTCACATGACAGGATTTTTAAAGAATTTATTTGTAAATCAGGGAGGAAAATAAGTATTTCAACTCAGTACTTTGTAACATAACCTTTGTTGGCAATAACAGAGGTCAAACGATTACTATAGGTCTTTACCAGGTTTGCACACACAGTAGCTGGTATTTTGGCCCATTCCTCCATGCAGATCTTCTCGAGAGCAGTGATGTTTTGGGGCTGTCGCCGAGCAACACGGACTTTCAACTCCCTCCACAGATTTTCTATGGGGTTGAGGTCTGGAGACTGGTTAGGCTACTCCAGGACTTTCAAATGCTTCTTACGGAGCCACTCCTTTGTTTCCCGGGCGGTGTGTTTGGGATCATTGTCGTGTTGGAAGACCCAGCCACGTTTCATCTTCAAAGCTCTCACTGATGGAAGGAGGTTTTTGCTCAGAATCTCACGATACATGGCCCCATTCATTCTGTCCTTAACACGGATCAGTCGTCCTGTCCCCTTAGCAGAAAAACAGCCCCAACGCATGATGTTCCCACCCCCATGCTTCACAGTAGGTATGGTGTTCTTGGGATGCAACTCAGTATTCTTCCTCCAAACACGACGAGTTGAGTTTATACCAAAAAGTTCTACTTTGGTTTCATCTGACCACATGACATTCTCCCAATCGTCTGCTGTATCATCCATGTGCTCTCTGGCAAACTTCAGACGGGCCTGGACATGCACTGGCTTCAGCAGCGGAACACTTCTGGCACAGCAGGATTTGATTCCCTGCCGTTGTAGTGTGTTACTGATGGTGAACTTTGTTACTGTGGTCCCAGCTCTCTGCAGGTCATTCACCAGGTCCCCCCGTGTGGTTCTGGGATTCTTGCTCACCGTTCTCATGATCATTTTGACCCCACGGGATGAGATCTTGCGTGGAGCCCCAGATCGAGGGAGATTATCAGTGGTCTTGAATGTCTTCCATTTTCTGATAATTGCTCCCACAGTTGATTTTTTCACACCAAGCTGCTTGCCTATTGTAGATTCACTCTTCCCAGTCTGGTGCAGGTCTATAAAGCCCCATTCCCACCTGTACCGGGTCGGCCCGGGCCGGGTAGCCCCAGTCGGCCCCAGCCTGGCCCGGTTGATTCCACACATCCTTGCCTTAAGCCCATGTGGGCTGATTCTACCCACCAATCAGAGGCTTGCTCTAATGGAAGGTGTGAATGGGCTGATTCTACCCACCAATCAGAGGCTTGCTCTAATGGAAGGTGTGAATTTGCTGTCAGCAGTGGGCGTGTTGGCCCTGGTCGGCCTGAAGCAGTACCCCTCGGGAAGAGGGCCGAGAATGAGCCTTGGTTGGCCCGGGAAAATTCCAGGCCACCCAGATATGTAAACAACCTATGCTACCCGGCCCGGGCCGACCCGGTACAGGTGGGAATGGGGCTTAATTCTTTTCCTAGTGTCCTTCGAAAGCTCTTTGGTCTTGGCCATAGTGGAGTTTGGAGTCTGACTGTTTGAGGCTGTGGACAGGTGCCTTTTATACGGATAATGAGTTCAAACAGGTGCCATTAATACAGGTAACGAGTGGAGGACAGAAAAGCTTCTTAAAGAAGACGTTACAGGTTTGTGAGAGCCAGAGATTTTCCTTGTTTGAAGTGACCAAATCCTTGTTTTCCTTCCTGATTTACAAATAAATTCTTTAAAAATCCTGCCATGTGAATTCATGGATTTTTTTTCACATTCTGTCTCTCACAGTTGAAGTGTACCTATGATGAAAATTACTGACCTCTGTCATCATTTTAAGTGGGAGAACTTGCACAATCGGTGGCTGACTAAATGCTTTTTTGCCCCACTGTAATTCATATCATGCAGCTCTACATCAGGGTTGGATTTCTTTGTTAAAAAGTAATTGATATATTCAGATGTATCTTAATTTATTGTCTATTGCAAAAAAAAAATCTATCCCAAATATGGTGCATTAGCCATTCAGAAGGGGAATTTTTAGGAGAAAAAAAGTCAAAGTAGTGGAAGATTTCCGAAATAAATTGGAAATGGCAAAAATAAAAACCTTTTTTTAGATGAAAGATTTCAGAAACTAAACCATCACTTGTGCAAAGACCCACAATACCCATAATGCCTTGTGTAAACTGATGTTTTTATACTTCAGTATACATTTTATCCACAGTATTTTGGAACAAACTGTAGTTTTGTCCCCTTATCACAAACTGTAAAAATCTTCTAGAAAACTCCAGCGGTTTGGATTACACTATGAATGTTGTAAAGAACAATATTGATACACTTTTTATTAGCTGCAGTTTTTTTGGGAGCGTGTTGGGGAAGTTGTTTGTTTTAGACTCTTATTGTGAAGGATTGCTGTGAGACTGCACAGGTGTGAGACGATATCTTGTTGTTTGTTGTCGTTTGCTGTACAATATAGTGTGTGCTTCCAGTTATTCTAAAGGAATATTCTAATTCTGAGGGCAATTTCTGGATTTGGTTGTCTGATGTTGAAGCACAGACACACTGTAACCCTAAAACCTCCTCGCAGTGTGATTGATCTGTTCAACTGCAGCGTTTCAATTCAGTTTCATTTACTTATATAGCACTGAATCACAGCAAGAGTCAACTCAGGGTTCTTCAAGTGGTCAGTGTGTCCTCCAGCAGTCTAAGCCTATAGCAGCATAGCTACAGAGATAACTCTGGATAACCTAGCCTTTTAGATGGAGGCAGGGCCAGGGAGAACCGTCTTTACCCACTGTATTCCCCGCAGTACACTCCACCTCCCTCTACTCCCCCACTCGTCCAAACCTGGGCTAACATAACTGGGAGTTTCCTCCAGGTCTGCTTCATGTGACGTGTTTTCTAATCCAGGAAACTTCAGGAACGACAGAACTTCAAGAACTCGCCACCGCAGAAGTGACTGATGCCTCCACCTCTCCGACTGCCGCGCCTGCCGAGGCTGCGGTGGAGATGAGTCCATCTCGGGCTGAATTGTCACCTGAAGCTCTGTCAGTTGTGTCTCCTGTCACGACGCCATCGTACTTTGACACAGACACCCCAGAGGAAACACATCTGCCCTCTGAATCTGGTGCTTTAAACAACCTCTAACTCCCACCAATGTGTTTAACAGTGGTTTTTAACTCCTCTTTGAATGTTTTTTGAAATCTCAGATGCGGCAATAATGGCTTTAGAAAGGAAAAGGCCCAGGAAGCTGTCCCACAAGGTGCTGAACTGCACCATTGAAGAAGTGTCATCAGGTCTTACGAAGAAGAGGGTATGTTGATGGGGGGGGAAAGGCTACAACTAATCTGTCTAGTAAAGTAATAATCTGATTTCACTTGTTTTTAATCCAGGAGCAAAAGCGGCACATTGGCATTTCATTGGGCAGGAAGATGTTGGTCAAGAAAACTCGGGTAAAAAAAAAAGGAATTTCCGTCTGAATCCACATGTTCTACTATGATCTGTGAGATAATTTCAGTTTAACTCTTGATTGCTTTTTTTTTCTCTTGATTGCTTTTGATAGATTGCATCTAAGAAAGAAAAGCCTGAAGCCCCCAGCACGTCTGCAGGTCCTCCTGCAGGCTCCAGGGCCTCACAGAGCAGGTCTCCCAGCCCCCGTGGCTTCAAGAGCCCCAAACAGGAGGTGGAGACGGAGCCCTGCAGCGCCGAAACCCAACCCAACGAAGACACTGGAACACTAACGCCGCAACCTGAGGTGGCCGTGTTGTTTTGCTCAGCTAATAAATAACTGCATCCATTCACCCTGAGCTCCAGTAACAGCTGATCGTGTTGATCCCTGCAGGCCACCCCTGTTGGTCTGAATGACAACTTATCCTCTCAAGTGGATGTAAAAGGAAAAATAGGAGCTGCATCTATGAAAGAGAATGTCTGTCAGGTTAGGAGACTCGTTTCACATCCCACATTTAGTTGTGTCTGAGAAGGGAGCATTAACATGTCCTGGTTCTGAAGGTGTGTGAGAGGACAGGAGACCTGCTGGTGTGTGATGGACACTGTTTTGGAGCTTTCCACCTGCAGTGCATCGGCCTGTCTGCAGCTCCCAGGGGAAGGTTCCTCTGTCGAAACTGTAAGACAGGTGGGTCTTCTTTGTGTCTCTTAAAGAAGCGTATACAAAAATCAAGCAGAGCAATCATTTGCATTTTCTGTCCAACTTGAGAGTCGAAATTTCCATTTATTTGTTTTCCACATCCCAGGTGTGCACTTGTGCTACGTGTGTAAGAAGAGTGGTAGTGGAGTGAAGCGCTGCATTATTCCTCTCTGTGGAAAGTTTTACCACACCGACTGCATCATGGCCTATTCTCCCACTCAGCTACACAACAAAGGCTTCCGCTGCCCAATGCACGTGTGTCTGTCATGTCACATCGCCAACCCTCTCAACATCTGCAGCACCAAAGGTAAGCCCCAGTGGCTCCAGCTGGAGATGATCCCATCAGCTTTTACGTTTATTCACGTTTCCAGTTTTTGCACCATAAATGCAACGCTTTGGTTTTTGCTCCCGTTTTTCATTGCACACGTGTGCAATGTCCATGCTGTCTAATCAGCCCCTTGATATGCCACACCTGTGAGGTGGGATGGGTTATCTTGGTAAAAGGAAAGTGCTCACTAACACATGTCGACAAATTTCAGACCCATATTGGTCTTTTGTGAATGTAGACAAATGTTCAGATGTTTGAGTTCAGTTCATGAAAAATGGGAGCAAAAACTAACGTGCTGCATTTATATTTTTGTTCAGTGTATTATGAAGCCTGTTTTAAACTTCATTATGACCGTGCAGTCGTTGTCTGTAACCATGTTGCCGTTAGGATACTCGCTCAGGTGGATTTAGCTGTTTTTGTGTGTGCGCCAGGTCGGTTGGCTCGATGCGTGCGCTGTCCTGTGGCGTATCACGCCAACGATAACTGCATGGCAGCAGGCAGCCTGGTGCTGGCAAACAACAGCTTCCTGTGTCCAAACCACTTCACTCCCCGCAAAGGCTACAAGAACCACGAACACATAAACGTCAGCTGGTGCTTCGTCTGCTCTGAAGGTCAGTCTGGACCTGTGTGTGTGTGTTTAGTTATGATAGCTTCAGGTGTGATGTCTGAACAGCGTTCACCTGGACGTCACAGGTTTAATGATGTGATCAGTTTTAAAATCCTGATTAATATAGTCAGTTTTTCACCTGTGTGTACACAAACAGTTTGTCACAAACAAAATACAAAAATGTGCATAACATTAAATTAATCAATTAAACTTACAATACAAACGTAATATATTTCACACACACACACACACACACACACACACATACACACACACACACACACACACACACACACACAGGGGTTGGGTCAGTGCTCTAACTAGATATTGACTGATTAGAGTTTTTCTGCCACCGATATCGACATCTATACGTAGAGATCACGGTCAGCCGATGGCCGGTATCTAGACGTATTCCACCTCATCTCTATGCTAAGGCGGCGCAGTGGTTAGAGCTGTTGCCTTGCAGCGAGAAGGTCCTGGGCTCACTTCCCGGCCTGGGATCTTTCTGCATGGAGTTTGCATGTTCTCCCTGTGCATGCGTGGGTTCTCTCCGGGTACTCCGGCTTCCTCCCACCGTCCAAAAACATGACTGTTAGGTTAACTGGTCTGTACAAATTGTCCTTGGGTGTGTGTGTGTGTGTGTCTCTCTCTCTCTTGCTGCCCTGCGATGGACTGGCACCCAGTCCAGGGTGTACCCCGCCTGATTGCCCGTTGATCGCTGGAGATAGCCCCCCCCCCCCCCCCGCGCGCGCGACCCTACATGGACAAGCGGGTCCAGAAAATGAATGGATGGATCTTCATGCTAAAATACCACTAATGACAACAGAGAATGCACAACATATCTGAATCTGAATCTGTTTTTGATCCCTGAATTTAACCAACTGTTGGTCTTAATTTGATGCTAAATCAAATGTTTAACAAAACAAATCAATAAACTGATCAAGTATTAAATATAAAATGGGTCCATAAAGGGAAATGTCAGTGGCAGTAATGTGTTAAATCATTTACTAAGCAGATGCTTTTCAGAAACATAAATAGGGAGCCTAAGTCACTTCCGCACCACGGGTCCCCGGAAGAACGGAGAAATGAATACAAGTCAACGGGGCTAGAAACGCTATTTTCTAATCCGCTTTGCCTTAGACCCTTGATCGCACACATGTAGTACAGCTATTTAAATGAAAAGTAATGATGGGTGTTTCGTCCACGCCACTCACGTACTTTGAGATTTATTTACTAGCTCTAACCTGGTAAAATGTCCTTAAAGTGAAGTAAATTTTTCACTATTGTATGACTGGTACAAGTGATTTGTTCTCTGTGTGTGTGTGTGTGTGTGTGTGTGTGTGTGTGTGTGTGTGTGTGTGTGTGTGTGTGTGTGTGTGTGTGTGTGTGTGCGCGCGTGTGCGTGCGTGCGTGCGTGTGTGTGTCCAGGAGGCAGCCTGCTGTGTTGTGAAGCCTGTCCTGCTGCTTTCCATCGGGAATGCTTGAACATTGAGATGCCTCAGGGTAGCTGGTTCTGCAACGACTGCAAAGCCGGAAAGAAGCCTCGCATTAAGGACATACTGTGGGTCAAATGGGGACGTTACAGGTACCGGCCCAGCCTTTTATTTACCCAAACACACAACAGTTCTACGTAAATGACTGCTGTACCTCGTCCGTGTCCCTGAAACCTGATCTGACTTTTCAGATGGTGGCCTGCTGAAGTCTGTCTCACAAAAGACGTCCCAAATAACGTCCTGAGGATAAGACACGAGGTGGGAGAGTTCCCCGTACAGTTCTTTGGCTCCAAAGATTTCGTGTGGACGTACCAGGCCAGAGTCTTCCCTTACATGGAGGGCGATACGCACAACATAGAGAAAATGTGCAAAGGTGCAGACGCTGTGTACAAAAAAGGTGTGTGTGTGTTCTCTGGTAGGGCGTTCTCGTCTCTGTACCTGGTCTGGAGTGCTGGTAACGTTGTCCTGTTTGTGTTTCTGAAGCTCTGACCGAATGTGCAGAGCGATTCAAAACCTTGCAGGCTGAGAAGGAAATGAAGCGGCTCCAGGAGGACAGAAAAAACGACAAGAAACCACCTCCATACAAACACATCAAAGTAAACAAACCACCACCAGGTGTTAAACCAGCTGACTGAGACGAGCTGTTTAAAAAAAAACAACACGTCCCTGTTGATGTCTCCTCAGGTGAACCGACCCATTGGGAAGGTGCAGATAATCACCGCCGACCTGTCGGAGATCCCACGCTGTAACTGCAAGGCATCGGATGAAAACCCGTGTGGTGTGGACTCGGAGTGCATCAATCGCATGCTGCTTTACGAGTGTCACCCTCAGGTGTGCGCGGCAGGAGAGCGGTGTCAGAACCAGGCTTTCAACAAGCGCCAATACACACCTGTGGAGATCCACAGGACGCTGTCGTGTGGCTGGGGTTTACGGGCGGTGTCGGACATCAAGAAGGTACAAAACAAGCGTAAAGATCTTATATTTGTGACGTTTTTGTTGCTCGTTCGTCTGCTCTCACTCTGGTTCTCCATCAGGGAGCCTTTGTGAGCGAGTACGTGGGAGAGGTGATAGATGAGGAGGAATGTCGAGCCCGGATCAGACACGCTCAGGAGAATGACATCTGTAACTTCTACATGCTCACACTGGACAAGGTGAGTCAGAACCTCCTCCAGTGCAACCTCAGCAATCCACCGGCTCCGTCTCAAAGATCAGCCGATTCCTGCAAACCAACCTAGTTGTCTGTTTTTATGTAGGACCGGATCATTGATGCCGGGCCCAAAGGGAACCAGGCTCGCTTCATGAACCATAGCTGTCAGCCGAACTGTGAGACCCAGAAGTGGACCGTGAACGGGGACACCAGGGTTGGACTGTTTGCTTTGCGGGACATCCCAAAAGGTTTGAGCGTGAGGGGAATGTCCCGTCCTCCATAGTTCCGGTCGTTTATTCTTTACTCACCCATCTTATTGGGCTCTCAGATGGGGAGCTGACTTTCAACTACAACCTGGAGTGTCTCGGCAACGGGAAGACCGTCTGTAAATGTGGAGCACCGAACTGTAGCGGCTTCCTGGGTGTTCGGCCGAAGGTAAAACCCTATCTGGTATCGTGTTCCTCATACTGGTCTTCACGGAGGAACCGTTGAACTCTTTGTGATTGTGTAGAACCAACCACCAGCTGAGAAACTGAAGGAAGGAAGAAGAAGAGGGTCCATGAAGAGGAAGACCAAGCAACAAGTGCTGAAGGAGAGGGAGGACGAGTGCTTCAGCTGTGGGGACGGGGGTCAGATCGTGTCCTGTAAGAAGCCGGGTTGTCCCAAAGTCTATCACGCCGACTGTCTCAACCTGGCCAAGAGGCCTGCAGGTAAAGTTAAAGTCCCATTAGTTGTCACACACACAGGTGTGTGTGTGTGCGAAATTTGTTCTCCGCATTTGACCCATCCCCTAGGGGAGCGGTGAGCTGCAGACACAGCCGCGCTCGGGAACTATTTGGTGGTTTAACCCCCAATCCAACCTCCTTAATGCTGAGTGTCAAGCAGGGAGGCATTGGGTCCCATTTTTTCAAAGTCTTTGGTATGACCCGACCAGGAATCGAACCCCTGATCTCCCAGTCTCAGGGCGGACACTCTATGGGGTTGATTCGGATGCTTTCAGATAACATTTACCTTTTGTACAAAACTCTGTCTCTGAAACCAAACGACTCACCCTGTCATCATCCCAGTGTTGCGGGTTTGAACCTAAAACAACCGAGTTGTCCCTCTGTCCTTGTGTCCAGGCCGATGGGAGTGTCCCTGGCACCAGTGTGACGTGTGTGGCAAAGAGGCGGCCTCATTCTGTGAAATGTGTCCCAACTCGTACTGCAGGGAGCACCGAGATGGCATGCTCTTCATTTCCAAGCTGGATGGCAGGCTGTCGTGCAGCGAGCACGACCCGTGTGGACCCGACCCGCTGGAGCCGGGGGAGATCCGTGAATACACGCCCAACAAGGCCTCCGTGAGGCCTGGGGCCGTGCCCGTCTCTCCCTCGCTGGGCCCTGACACCAGAGAATCCACCTCCTCGAGTTCGTCTTCTGCTCCCAGCTCCTCCCCTGCCTGCCATACTGAGCCGTCCAGGCGACAGCATCCTCCTCCTCGTCTCTACATCAACACAAAGACCGCTACCTCCAGCTTCATCCCTTCCAGCAGGCCTTACCTCACAGACAGAACTGACAGTCAACCTGCGTCGACCCTTGGCTCCTCCAAGGAGGAAGGAGACGACGGAGAGGCGGAGGACGAGGAGGTGTGTGGGTTAGACATGGTGGAGGACGAGGACGAGGAGGATGATGAAGATGCAGAGGAGGATGAAAATGATATGGAGGAGATGGAGATAGTGGAAGATGAAGAGGATGAGCCTCTGTATAGAGGCAACTTGTTGGAAGAGGAGGAGGAGGAAGAGGAGGGAGGGTATGACACGTGGGACGATTACGTGCATGAAGACGCTGAGGACGGAGAGGTGGAGGAGTGGGGGGGCGTGGAGCATAAGTGACAGAACTAAAGGGTGAAACTTGAACGCAGCACTGCCTTCACTGTGGTACATCGCTGCCCTTCATCTCCAGACTGACGGTGGGGATGCGTCCTGGTGCTAACGGCTGAACCCTTCTTTCTCTCAGTCTCGTCATACTTCTGTCCTTTTCTTTCTTCGTGTTTGGTGCTTTTCCCTTCTTTTCCGTTCCCTTTTTTTTTCTTTTATCACACCATTTACATTTTTGGGCCTTTTTTTTAATGTTTGGAGCCGAAACAAAAGGTGAAGCGTTTCACCTGACCAAACCGTCATCATAAGGGCATCTTATGTTGTTGTTACTGTGTATACTTCCAAAAATAGTGTTCTCACTGGTTCGTGTTACGGTTAGACTAAACAGTACCTACCTGCTTGTGAGGAGTGAAGAAATAAACCCACTGGAGTCATCAACGTTACTGATGATTGTTCTCAAACGTGTCTCGAGTTTTATTATTGCATCACAATAAAATACTTGTTTCTTATACCTCTGATCAGGTACATTTTTGGCATGGAAACAAACAAAAAGCATCACTGTTTTAACAATAGTTTTAATAATGATGATAGGAGAGATTACAACTAGACAGAAGGTACTGATCCGGATCCTAGAAACTCGGAAATGGACTTGGCTGATGAAATCCAGCTGAAGTTTTGTCCAGTGCACTTCTTTTGTTTGACAGCAAGTTGCAGATATGTTTGTGGGTCCTCATCGTAACCTGAGTAGCGATGAAGATGATGTTACCACTCCTGTGATGGGCTTGAAATCCCAATACCGACACAACTTTATCAGTCAGGCACAGTTTAAGTCACTACTAGGTGCTGGTGTCTGGTAAGCCTCTGTTTTTCCATGCAGTCTGTTCGGTTTCTTTCGTCTGCTTCTGAGTGTTCCTTGTTGAGTCCTTTCCTTTAATTGTTTTCTTTTACCGCAGGAAACTGAGATCACATCGGCGGTATGCAAAGTGTAGCTGAATGATGCTTTTCAGCTCTTGTGTGCAACTGAAGAAAGTTAAAGTTTTGGCCTGTCAGCGCAGAAAATTTGATTAAGATTTGTACTAAAATTAAGAAAATGCAGAAAAATGACATCAGGGTTTGAAATAAAAAGGAACATCCATCCATTTTTATCTACTCATCCAGGGTCAGGTGGTCGCAGGGGCAGCAGCCTAAGCAGAGAGGCCTGGACTTTCCCCAGCCTCTTGGGCACGCTCTTCTGGGAATTTCAAAACATTCCCATGCCCACTGAAAAACATAAGCCCCTTTCACATCAGGGCCCACTCTACTCCGCCCAGATGAGGTATGACGTGTTCACATCTGGGTAGCCTGGATTTATTTTCTGTGCTCAACTGGTCGTTTTTTCAGCCCTCTTCCCAAGACGGTCTGCTTCAGGCTGACATGACCCAACACACCCACCGCTGACAGATAGGCCAGCTCAAATTCATGCCTACCGTTAGGAGGAGCCTCTGATTGGTGGGTAGAACCAGCCAGCGGGGGCTTCCCGCACGCACCGTTCATCGCCTCTTACTGAAGCCGCCCGTCTCACTTTCTATGTGCAGCGAAGAGCAGCACACACACGGACAGACAGCTGGCAGTGTGAGAACACACGCAGCAGAGCAGGATGCAATATCATAGTCGGAGTCTCCAAAAGCAACACTGCTCACGGCTGCCTTCGTTTAATTTAAGGGAGACACCACGGACTTCTCCGCACGTCTTTTGCTCCACCAAGTGCTCTGAGATTTACGCCTTCCTGGGAAGTGTGGACAAGCCCTACTGGTACGGGACCCAGACCCAACGCCATCCAGCTTGGATTGGACCGGGTCATGTGGGAGCGGCAATATTCCCTTCAACATGTCCTGGGTCTTCTTTGGGTTTCCTAGTTGGACGTGTCTGGAAAACCTCACCAGGGAGGCATTCAGGAGGCATCCTAACCAGATGCCTGAGCCACGTCAGCTGGCTCCTCTCCATGTGAAGACGCAGCACCAATCCGCCTGTCCATCTTGTGGTCCATCTTTCCATCCTGGGCAAACAAGACTCTGAGATAATAAATCTAAGCCCTACATAAATCTAAGCGCAATAGTCTAAGTCACATATTCTCCTCTCGTACGTAAATAAGGCAAGGCAGCTTTATTTATCGAGCACATTTCAGACACAGAGGCAATTCAACGTGCTTTACCGGGACATGATATGAAAACAGCATAAAAACACAAATTAAAATACACACAAATGGAATTACAGTTTGGAGCTAAAGGAGAAGACAGTGCAGATTACTGACGACGCGTGATCAACAGTTCATTGAAAGGCTGATGAGTACATTAGGGTTTTTAGTTTTGTTTTAAACAACACTAGGGTTGGGGCAGGTCTGAGCTCATGGGGAAGCTGATTCCAAATGTGAGCAGCATTGTAGCTAAATGCATCTCCACCATGTTTTGGTCTGACCCGTGGTTCCACCTGCTGATTGTTTTCAAAGGACCTCAGAGCCCTATTGGGTGTATGTACAGGAATGAGCAGTAAGGTGCGTTTCATTCAAAGTCACGTCCGTTTCATCAAAGCTTCTTTCACATTCACATATTCTCCTCTCGTACGCACACATTCTCACTTGCACATTAATACATACAGTAATGATAAAGGGTCACTGTTCTGTGTTCTTGGTAACTGTTATACTGGTGCTGTCTCTTTAAGAGAGGAGCTCTTGTGTAACAGAGGAAGTTTGGGTTTTTTGTTGTTCTGTAGAGGTTCATGGGCAGAGAGGAATGGTTCTTTCCCTGTAACTTGAGCCGTTTTTCTAACAAGTAATAAATTCCTGTCCAGAACAAAACGTCTGGTGATTTGGTGTCACCAATACAAAACTTTCTGGTTTGACATTATAAGAATATCAGAGATAAAATGTGCATTAATGTTAAAATGAAGAGAGTGTCTGGGTAAAGAGAATATATGTGTGTTTGTAGAAAATGTGTGTGTGTGTGTGCATAATGTGTGCATGAGTGTATAATGTGCGTATCATATGTATCAGTAGAATGTGCGAATGTGAGAGTACCATTATGAATTATGACTTACACAAAGCCTTATGGGTGTTTGGCCCAACAAATATTCTAACTGAAGACCCCCGGGGCTGTTGTTTGTTTGTTTTCATCCCAGTCACAGATTCATACAGTCTTTGTATGACTTCATCTGAAAGGTGAGGTTCACTGATAAGTCTGACTGGACAATATCAATATTTTTTAAATATCCATACAATTTTAAACAAGACACAAGATAACCCAATAATTGTTATATTCTTATGAAGATACAACCATTGATTTACTCCAGCTAGCTTGTTGCTTCTCTGCCTCATTTCCGGTATTCTCACACATCCACTCTATCCAGAAAGTTGTTTTCTAGATTAAAAACTCCGGGTTAGTGTTCTGCCTTACACTTTGTTACAGCTGTGGATTTTTCTTTCAAATGTATTCTTTAATCACCAACGTGTTTGCTGCACAGTCAAAACTAGTGCATTGACACTGGTTTCACGTGGACTTTCACACAGTTATTCTTTAGCTTTTAAATGCTTCATTATGCGGAATTTAAATTGTTTACCATCATTTTCTAGAATCCAGATGTGACAGCAATGTGCACCATTGTACCCCGACTGCCTCCCTTGGTGTGAGTCAAACAATTGTGTGGGTAGTTTCTGAATGGGAGTAGGTGATTCTCTTTTCTCAGTCCTGTTTGCTTCAGTCAAGACCAAACCTCTATCCAGTGTCCCTGTCTGAGGGTTAGGGTTGAGTACAGGATACCTTTCTACGTAGATAAGCTGACACCCCACTCACATCAGAAATCCACGCAAATAGGTGGCACGTTCAACCGGGAGGAGGCCTAAAGGGGGACCCAGGACTCTTTGGAGGGTCTCTCACCTGGCCAGGGAACGCCTTGGGATTCCCCTGAAAGAGCTGGCCCAAGTGGCAGAGGAGAGGGAAGTCTGGGCCTCTCGACTTCGGCTGCTGCCCCTGCGACCCGATTCCAGATATGCAGAATAAAATGGATGGGTGGATAACTGTTTATGCTTTGTTTACCCACTATGTTCTTGTGTTGGTTTAAACCTTTTCCAGGGAAAAAGCAGGGAAGCTATGAAAAAGAAAAAATATTGTACTCATCTGGTCATCCAGTGGAAGCAGGACTTTGCATTTTCAAGCAGTGAGATTTCTCGGTAGCACACACAGGGGAGTAGTAGGAGAAAAGTGGCGGTCCACCCTCCAGAACGGTAGGTGGCGGTAACGCGCCTTATGTAGTTTACAGACCATCATAAAATCCCAGAAAGAAGAAGAATATCCGCGTCATGGTGGGTGTAACTTTTGTTGGTTGCGTCATTAAATTTGTTGAAGAAAGTTCCATCACATTCTACGGAAGGTCGCCATCTTTAAGGACGAGAAGTCGGGAGGGAGCGTTGCAGATTCTTTGTTCTTAATCTCGCATAATTCAACAGAAACGTTTTTGTAAACATCGCATTTCTTAATTAAGGTAGTGTATCTTAATGTGAGTCGTACTGATAGATTTAATCGTTTTTAAATTGCCTTTTTATCGACTTGCTTTTCGTGTGAAATTCGACGTCTCGTCGACATGACACATTTCAAATAGACCGTTGTTTTCCACGACGCCATTATTTTCGCAAAACATGTTTTAAAAGTTTTTAATCGTATATGCAATCTTTTAACAGATGTTGTGGTTACAACTTTCAGAAAAAAACACTTGAACTATATATTGTTCGTTTCCCCCCCTTTTAAATCTATTTTTTTCGTTACGTAACAAAAATGCGCTTAGTAAGCTGTTGGTCGCCATTTCAGAGTAGTCTGTCCTCTGGTGACGGCATTTGTAGACATGTTTTCGCCATTAAGTAGCAAACCACTGAGCGGAAAATAACCTGTAAATGTAAAAGGTCTAGATTTTATTCATGCAGTAAGTATTCAGAATTGGTAATCAGCTACAGAAAAGGCTAAGGCCTTCGTCGAATGCCGTCGAAAGTTACGGTACAAGCTTACTGCCTATATATATTGTTTTTCGTCAAAATATTCTCTTTAAGCGTTGGTGCTGCTGTAAAAATGTAATTTCCACACTGTCTAATCAATATAGTGTATTCTATTCAAACAAAGCTGCGTAGTTGAACGCCGACGTTGCTTCAATGTCGCAAATATTTCAAAGGCTGTATATTTAGGCTGTACTTTTACATTCTGCAGTTTATGGGATAATCCCCCAATATTATTTTAATTGGCATTTTATTTCAAAATCAGGTTTATTGCCATGTAGGTGACTCTTCTACTAGGATTTTTTCTTTGGGTGGAAAGGTGCAAATATTTAACAAGTCAGGCAATATATGGATTCGGATAGAGTTAAAGGATTAGCTGAAATACTTTAGATGTTTTCGTTGACTCGTGCAGTATTTGTTAGCTCTTTCATAATGGGTTACCAACAACCAGGAAGTTTTAGTCTGTTATGTAATCCAGTTCCTGGAAGAGAAGCCATATTACATGTTTGAACTTGGTGGTTCTAAAGATTGCCACCTATGTGACTTTGATTTACACGTGTGCATTATTTATTTACCTAAATCTTTCAGATGCGCCAGTCGAAGAGGATGCGTTCGCCTGGTGCCTGGCTGGATGAATACAGCTGGGAAGAAAGGATGGAGTGTCGGAAACGCAGAAAGAGAGATTCATACAGCAGCGAAAGAGAGAACCGATCCAGAAGAAATCCCCATTGTCACAAGACATTAGAAGGGTAAATATCTCTGTGAAGCCAAGTGTTAAAATTAACCGTCATCTGTTTCAGAATTATGTAATTTAAAATAATTTGGGACATTCTATTAAATGTAAGTTGCCATCATAAAATAATCAGTTTTGTTCAATCTGTAGTTTCATTCAGGTGTGAAGATCAATATAATGCTGTAATAGGTAATGGATTTCTAAAATAGTGTAATCTATTTGTTTAAGCAATTTAATATATCTAGTAATACTATTGCATCAGTTGGGTTTGATTAAAGCCTGATTCATGCTTCTGCGTCAGTGCGGAGACACGCAACGCCATTATCTGTCTTTGCGGGCCTGCCGGAGAGCCCCGCTAGGACGTACGGAGTCGAGCTATACGACGGACGGAGAACGCAAGCTTGTGATTGGTCAGGGCACCGCTGTCGTCTAAACCGCCGCCATTGCGCCCTCAAAAACAAAGAGAGCTGATAATAACTAGCGGCAGACACGGAGAAGCTTGAAGAACACCTCGCGAAAAAACTCTAAAATTGTGAACGTTTAATTCCCCCGTGACTGGAGGAGTGAAAAGATGCTCAGAAGACATTTTATTTGTGGGCGGAAATGACAGGAAACGTGGGTTTAGAGGTGGCGAGCACATGAAGAGATGGAGGAGAATGAGAGACAAATTTGACCCGTGTTTAAAAAGTCTCTTGTTTACAAAAAAACACAATATAAACACACTATCTTGGTCCGGATACATGACAGGATACCACAGAACAGCACCATGCCCTCTTGTCCTGGCGGGGAATTGCTTTGCAACACTCCCTAGGAGACGGAGAAGTATGAGGGCAAAATGTCTCCGTCTGTCCATGCGTGTCTGTCCCTGTTGGAGCTGACGGAGAAACAAGAATCAGGCTTAACAAGTCAGAACAACCAGCTTGTTGCAGGTTATATGTCACAGTAAACTTGTTTGTTGTGTAAATACTTAAAGTACTGAGGATTGTTTACTTTTAATGTTCTCACAAAAGCGTGCAGTTTGACTGATACTTTAATAAAAAAATGATTTCCAGTTTACCTTACTAACTTCACTGGTGTTTTTGTGTTTTTGAATTTGAGGTTTAAAATGAGGCATGGATAAATACAGTGGTGTTTCATTGAATGAACACTTGGGGGCAGTAGTGAAATTAATCCTCCTGTTAGAAAAATCTGCTTTATGGCATTTGGTGTGGCAGATGGTGCATGTGTGATTCACACAAAATTTATGACTGGGATTGGTTCAGAGCATTTGCATCATTTGTTACGTGTAGAGGATTCCCATTAAACACCACACAGGTTTTATGTTTTTATTCCAAGTCAGGCTTCTTGCAAAGTAAAATGCTTGTTTTGAGAGGAAAATTATAAGTTTTCTTTGTTTAAAAAAATATTGGCTACAGATTCATAATGTAAATTCAGGTCAAGTTAAAGCTACAGTTAGGAGTTTCCCCCCATTTCTGAAATGTTTTTTTTAAATATATATGTAAAATGATGGTCTTACTCTGTACTGTTTAGGGTTGTCACGGTATGAAAATTTAACCTCACGGTTATTGTGACCAAAATTATCACGGTTTTCGGTATTATCGCGGTATTTTTTAAACGGTGTTGCATATGTTCAGAAAGCATTGATAGTCCTGTTCTACACAAACTGAAATAGTTCTGAAAAGGTTTAACAGTGTTTATTAAACCTAAAATAACACAAAGCCTTAGCAAAAGTGCAACTTTTCACAAGTAAAGGAACAAATAGCTTCTTTTTCTGGAACATGTTACAGTAGTCAGTGCAGGTTTAAATTATACAAATCCAAACATTCAAAACATAAACAATATGTAAACAAATCAAAGAAACACCACTTGTTTTCTCATATACTTGTTTTCTTCATTATCAAAATGAAAATCTAAAACTCCAGTCCACACTTGACTTGAGCACTGTACAAGTCAACCTTAAAAAATATGTATTTAAAATAAATAGCCACTTTAAACAAATTACTAAAATAACTACTACACTATGTAATCAAATCCAAATGTTCAAGTATAAATGGCATTGAATAAGTAAACAAATCCATGACAAGGAACTAATTGTATATTTCTCTTCATCAACAAATAAGATGCTTCATCCAGCAACAGGGTGTCCGTGACACGGTTTAAATGCTGGCAGAGGACGCTGCGGCTGCAATCTATAGTGACTCGTTGCATTCTCCCTCAGCCAAAAGTCCTCACGTCATGCATTTCAGCTAAAATGCTAATGTTAACTTACCTTGCACTGGCTGTGGAGACGTGGGTGATCGTCACGCAGATGTGCCATGAGATTTGAAGTGTTGCTGCCTTCTGCAGACACTTGTTTCCTGCACGTTCTGCAAACGGGATAGCAGTCTTCTATTAACTGTCCCTCAGCATTTTTCAGAAATCCCAAATATGCCCATACTTCCGATTTAGTCTTCTTTGAGGGCTGATGGATGTCCTGGGTGCTGCCGTCGCCTCCTTCGGCCATTATTTCAGCTTCAAAGTTTTGGTGCCGTTGCAAACTAAAAAGTGCGTGTGCGCGCAGCGGGAACTTCAGCTGAAGCGACGGTGGCTGGTAAGGGTCATCGCGCCGAAACCGCGGCCACGGTAAACCCACCGAGATAATATAGTTTTTTAAAAACTGGACGGTTATTTTTATTGTCAACTTTTTTACCGGGGTTTACCGCTATACCGGTTACCGTGACAACCCTAGTACTGTTTATTTAAGCAACATGTCATTATTTTGTTTTGCCAAGCGTACTCCCTCCTCCGTAGAGTCCCAGTTTGAGCAGACTGCCGTTCAGCATTAGCTGATAGTTGGAGACGTCTCATACACACGCCAATCCCAAAGCGCAGTCGTTTTAAAGATTAAATTAAACTTAATAACCTTTTAAAAGCTTGGGCTGAAATGCTGTCAAAATATTAATAGTTCTAAAATACATTGTTCATTTCATCTTGTGTTTATCAGTAATATTCTGCATAATAAAGGTAGGACTGTATTCTGCAGCACTGTAATTCATTTTCTTTGAATTGACAATCCCAATGATTTGTGACCACTACTGTCAAGACCAGCACTCATGGTTGGTTATGTACATTGAACAGTTGACCATTTGTTTCCTAAATGGCAATGTGTTAATTGGAGCTTTCTGCTGTTTGTGTGTTGCAATGCTAGCTTTTTGTGGACATGCGTTTTGGTGCATGAGGTTACTTTAGATGTTTCCAGATCTCCTCTAATTTTAGTTCTGTAGAGAGGCAGACTACTTATTGGCAGACAACTGATACCACCTGGGTGCTAAGGCACTAGAGGTTCTGGGTCTTTTTTAGATGCTAATGTGACATGCTGGGATGGAGTTTTGCTCTTAAGTAATTGGGAACACGGCTGTACTGATAATTTGCTGTGCCGTTTTACACCAAGATGGATAAAAACACATTTTAAGTCAACATTTCTGGTATGTAAATCTGGTGTTTATTTTGTATTGGCAGATAGGCGATGATACAGGTGTTTACTTCTGATGTATCAAGATGAATCACAGATTATATTACGCACCATCAACTTTAAATACCCAGCATTTCACCTCTGCCAATGTGGCTCTCTGTCAAGGTGAAGGCTTCTAGAAGCCTTGGTAGGAGCTAGCTTTAGAGCAGTTAAATTCACTCAAACGTGTTGAGTTGCAACTTGTCCCTAGAGTTCTCTTAACGAGACTATTTCTGCAGTGATTATTGGCTTATAAAAATGCCTGACCTGCAGCCAGCTATTGAACAAGATGCAGGTTATTTGGTTGCTGCACGTCGGCTTGCTGTTAACAAATGTTACATAAAGGGTTCAGGGATAGAGTGTCAGGAAATTGGCTGACCATGAGCACCGTCTCGCTCACTCATCATTCCAAGTGCTTGATCAGACCAGAACTCGGCTGTACATGACCTGACCTGTCTTTCCAAGTGCTCGTTTTTATGCTTTTTACTATTTTTTTTTATTTGCAGGCACTACCTGGAGGCCCGCAGTTTAAACCAGAGGCTGGATTCTCAGGAGATGTACCCCCGTGAGCACAGCTTGGATGTGGCCTGTGACGATGACAGTCGTGAAGAAACTCACAAAGACCGGGACGACTGGCACCACTACAGCAAGTCCTCGGGGCGTAGTGGGCGTAGCAGACGAAGCAGTCGCAGGCACCGCGACAGACGACACAGGCGCAGTCATTCTCGCCACGAGTCCTCCTCGGTACGGGAATCTTCTTCTCTCCTCCACCCCTTCATCAGTCTTATCTTCAGTTGAAATGGAGTGTTTAGCTAATGCTGAGTACCCATTTCATTGTCTCTTGTTTCTGTGCCGTACCCTCCAGCATTGAGCATGATATTCAGTGATAACAAATAGAAAACTTAAGGATTAGGAGATGGGCTTATGGGTAATTAGAGAAGGCAAATAGAAGGTTGGATATTTGTGGACAGAATTATTATTAGATGGGGGGTGGGGCATGAATGTAAAATCATTAGACAAGAGCATTTTTAAAGTCATGTACTAAAAGTGTTAACAGCAAAGTTTTAAGTTTTCTGTACTTTTGTGAGAAAATCTCTCATCTGTAAATCTTGTTGCCATGTTTTTCTTCTGTAACACACACCATGTGGTGACCGACGCCCATTTTCTCTGACGGGGCTGAATTTGAATTTGCTGCTCCGTCCATTCGTCTGGTGGTGTTACTGAACGGGCTGAATCTGTCCACCCCTTCACCTTCCCCTTGGCCTGGTTGAATGAATGGCGATGTCGCGTTGTGGTGGCCGGTGCTGGCTGGGTTGTTGTGATGGCGGATTGCGGCGTTTCCGGTGCAGAGGAGGAGCCATCGCCACAGGAGCAGGAAAAGATCCAGGAGTGTTGAGGATGATGACGAGGGTCACCTCATCTATCACAGTGGAGACATGCTGAGAGCGAGATGTATAGAATATATACCTTTTTTTTCTTCTGTTGTTCACTGTCTCTCTCTCGTCTGGTCATTTCCAAACATTAATTTAAAGGCTGTTAGATTTGGGATAGTAACCTTAAGTTAGTCTTGACATTATTTTTGGGCAGCTATTGCTTTTCAGTTAAACTTATTAAGCAATGAACTTAATGCCAGTGATGAGAAACTTGTTTTAATATTTATAGCTAAATAAAATTAAAATGATAAAGAAAAGCGGCTAAAGGCCGGCGATGCGCCTTCAGTGCTGGGATCTAATTAACCTTCTCTATTTCCTGTAGATGAAATTGTGTGTACTCTAGGAGAGGGTGCCTTTGGAAAAGTTGTTGAGTGCATCGATCATTCAAAGTAAGCTGAGACCATGTGTATTTAGATTTTTCTTTAATTACTGCTTTTTATATTAAAACGACTTAACGTTGGAAATTTCCATTTGTTTCAGTGAAGGGGCCCGAGTAGCTCTGAAGATCATTAAAAATATAGACCGCTACCGAGAAGCAGCGTTGTCTGAGGTAGAGGTTCTTAAACAGTTGAAATCCCTCGATGCTGACAATAAATAGTAAGTATTACTACACACTATACCTGACTGAGAAAACACTGAGTAGTTTGTAATGCAGGTGGTTGTACTGATTGCTCTTTTTGGCACCCTCAGTGCTTGTGTGCATATGCTGGACTGGTTTGACTTCCACGGTCACATATGCATTGTGTTTGAGCTGCTCGGCCTCAGCACGTACGACTTCCTGAAGGAAAACAACTTCCAGCCTTTTCCTGTTAAACACATCAGGCACATGGCCTACCAGATCATTCGAGCTGTGAAATGTGAGTAATGGCGTCTCAGTCAGCACACTGTGCATTTAAACTAAAAAGCCACGCATTTTAAATGTTTTCTTCTTTTTCAGTTCTTCACAAAAACAAACTGACTCACACAGATTTGAAGCCTGAAAATATCCTATTAATAGATTCGGACTACAACATGGCATATAATCGTGCAAAGGTAATTCATTTAAAAATACTGTGTTAATGTGGCAAAGCTAAAGTTGACTTAACAGCCACAGGAGGCTGATGAATGTCATATATTCACCTACAGAGGAGAGACGAACGAACCCTGAAAAGCCCAGATATTAAAATTGTGGACTTTGGCAACGCCACATTTGATCATGAGCACCACACCTCTGTGGTTTCAACACGTCACTACCGTGCTCCTGAAGTCATTTTAGGTGAGTGTTAAATGCCTCCCCCTTGGCTCTGCCCCAACACTTAAGACACATTTGACAAGTGATTCATATGGTGGTTGATGCACCTTTTAGACTTGGGCTGGGATCATTCCTGTGATGTTTGGAGTATCGGCTGCATCCTCATTGAATATTACCTCGGAACAACCTTGTTCCAGGTAGGTGTCAACTGAGTAAATAAAAAATGTAATTTTACTTCAGTATTGTTTCAGCGTGGCGTGTCCTCTCTTTCAGACACATGACAGTAAAGAGCATCTTGCTATGATGGAGAGGGTGCTGGGCCCCATCCCTACCAACCTTCTGGAGAAAACCAAGTAAGGGTTCATTTATACACCAGTGTACTTGCTGAATGTAGTCACATTATTGTCTAATTTAGAGTGGATTCCAGTTTAATCAGTCCTACAAAATAACATGCATGTCCTGCTTAATCTTATGACCTAGAAAACCAAGGTTTTGATCACCCTCTGCCTGTTTAGGGTTTGGTACTAACCATTACTTCCAGTAGAAGTACTGGTTGTAGACTTGTTTGAAAGCTGATAATGTGAGTGATAGTTAAACATCTCAACAGTAAAATGATTCAGATTTAATTCTATTCCAACTTGAATGGAAATTCTATGTTCATTGTAATTCAAGATTAAAAGTATCATTAAAGTCATTGTGTGTTTTAGTCTGAGTGTGTGTCACGTGTGCAGTAATGATGTGGTGGGTAAAGTTGTCGTGTGTTTCTTAGAAAAAGGCGATATGTTCATCGCAATAGGCTGGACTGGGATGTTCACAGCTCTTCGGGCCGTTATGTCCGGAAGCACTGCAGACCCCTGAAGGTAAGGGCTAAAGTACAGAGTGTGCTGCGACTTTTTAAAAAGTCAAATATAAATGTGAGGATTCTCACACTGCTTTGTTTACACTTAAAGAAGGTTGAAACTTGTAAAATCACTTTGTACCACACATTTCCAATGGCTTGGTTTAGGAAATGTAACAATGCCTCGAGAATCGATTTAAAATTGGTTCAAACCAGTTTAAATATGCATCGTTGTAGAAAAAAGGAAAATCAATACGTAACTGCCACAAATATTACATAATGGCATTCTTGCTTGTGCCAATGCCAAAATGCTGCTAATCAAAACACCGGCAAGTAGGGATGCAACGAATCCTCCTCCTCATTATTATTATTACTGTTAATGCTTAGTGACCCGTTTGGATCGGTTTGGCATGCATGCGGTCCGCAGATCGGTCATGTGTAAGGCGTAGACACTACCCGTTTAATCCAAAGCAGAAATTCACAGCGGTGGTCATAACCGGAGAGGAGTTTGAATCACCACCTGCATGCATCATTTAAGTATGAGAGCATTTTGGCTCCCCTGTAAAATACAATAATGATCCAAAATTTAACACGCGCCTTCAGTCGGAAGACTCAACGCTACACACTCACACACACACCTCCGATCGTTGGATAGGAGAGGGGGTGTTGCACGAAACTTGCCTTGGGACAATTATCACACCAACGTGGTAAGACCTGTAAATATTGCTTGGGCCACATCTGTAAAAGAGTACGAAAGACAAACAGTGCATCAGAAAGGTGAGGAGATAAGTGAAAGCAGGCCACACAGAGCACAACTCCTGCTTTATATCAAGTTGCTTATTGAGCAGAAAAATTTGCACCAACTGTTGTACAAAATAAAAAAAACAAAGCTTTAGTTTTTTTGCTGCTCTTTTTCCTTTCTGCTGATCTAAAAACACAACCCGCGCCGTGACTGAAAACCCTGATAAGATCCAAACCGTGAGATTTTTCATCAGTCGCACCACTAGAGGCGAGCATGGCTACAGCAAGCCACGTCGAGATAGTGGACGCTCCAATCAGTTTGAAGTCAGTAGTGTGGAGCATTTTGGCTTCTCCGTGTTTACAAATGAAACGGTGAATGACCGGTTTTAAGATCGGGATAGACGGAACAGCGACCCCGCCGTGGAACTGAGCTATAATTGTACTGCTGCCTGAGATTTTCACATTAGTGAAGTGGATCATAATTGTTGTTGAACTGATTTTCTCTACATTTTGGAGTGACTTGATTTGTCTTTATTCCTTAAACAGCATTACATTTCTTCAAAGACTGAAGACCACCGACAGCTTTTTGACCTGATTGAGAAGATGATGGAGTATGACCCAACCAAGCGCCTCAGCCTGGAGCAGGCCCTTCATCATCCCTTCTTCTCCTGCTTATATAAGACCAGCAACAGCAGGAAAAGCAACAGCAGAGGCAGCAGCACCAGGAGCAGCAGCAGCAGCAGTGTCGGTAGCAAATGAGGCAGAACTTGTGACCTTTGACCTCATTGTGAGATTTCTTATGGT